ATACTTAAGTAATGATAAAGAACATAAGATAAAAGATTTATTTTAAACCGAAAGATTTTAGAATAACTTAATGACAGAATTTTAGTGTTGAGAAAAATATTGAAATAAATTTTAATATTGCACTTTCCGAAATAATTTTTAGACAACAAAAGTTAAATATGAAATGAGAAACAAATAAAAAAAATATAACTTGAAAGTTAAATAATTTAAAATAAACAAATTTTAAACAATTGAATTCTCAAATAATACAACAAATTTATAAAACGACAAAACAGAAATATTTCTAGAAATAAATAATTAAATTCAAGGAAACGTAAGAAATGTTAGATTCGAGTACATATTTATTCATATGATTTTAATAAATAAATTAATGTAGACAGTACAAATGTATGTTTTTGCCTATGCGTAAATGCGCTTACGTATACACAAACACATAGATGAATAATAGAAAATAAGAGTAAGTGAAAAAGTATGTTGCACTCAGACCCAAGTAGAGGGACTCATGCAACATTTTTAGACAAATTTAAGAGAGAGGGTAAGGGCCCGAGAAAATAGACAAATAATTGGACATTTGTTTCCCCCAATGAGTGGAAATTAGTAACGCCCTAAAATTCGACACCTTGCAATTGTCACCAAAAAAATCTCTCTCGTTGTCCTGACGTCCTAGTGTTAACATCGTACATAGTTTAAATAAGTCTCAATAGACCACGTGTAAATCTATTTTATAAAAAGTAAAACGACATTTGTAAAGGTAAAGTAAAATCGTAAAGTGAAACCAACTAAAATAAATTAAATCAACAAGGTTCATCAATTTTTTATCAGGTATATTTTAAATTATTAATATTTGTGAATTTGGTAATATTGTAAAATCGTTATATGAAAGAAAAGTTAACTTCAATCACTGTGTAATAATTCTAACTATTTTAAATTAACTAATGATATTAATTTTGGATTTAAACAATATATGTATTTAAATTATTCAACTACATCAATTTATTCAAACAAACTTATCATTCTCAATAAACTAAAACTCGGAAGTTCCCGGTCTATATTAGCCTAACACGCTAGGACCAAATACTTAAACACATTAAATATTTTAAATGTAAAATTAATTAATTACCCTAAATTAATATTTTTTACATAACAATTTATTTGTTAAAAAAAAATTATTAAATATCTTCTAAATTGATCATCACAAAAAAAAATTATTAAATAAATTTTTATTTAAAGCTCTAATAATAATAACATATGTATGACTGTACCAACAGACAAATAAAGAAGTAAAATAATCTAGACAAAGAGAAAAATAGAACTAAGAAAAACTAGACTGAAAATAAAACTCAGAGCATAAAGTTCCGACTGTCGAGAAGGAACATGACGAATATATACCACCTAACCAATCACCAGCTGTTTTAACAGTTAAGTATAATAAATACACAAATCATAATTAATTAAATTCATCACATTAGTGGTCTCTCAATATTTCTATTTTTCTGCTCACTGATATACATATAATAATATAATACAGCTATAGTAGGGTATTGCATGTACCGCAATGTACCTATATACGCACTTGCATAGCATTTAACATCACAAACTACTCGACTCAGACTGTTTCACAACAGTAATAACACAGCTACCATACAATTTACATCTTTATTTTTTTATTTAATTCATTTCATTTATCTTCAGTGTCTAGTAAGTATAATAAATTTTTTTAAAATAAAAGTAAGTACTTAAAAAATAAAAATAAAAATTATATTAAATAATTATTAAAAGTGTTTTAATAAATAAATTAAATATGACAATATTCTTATTGTTATTAATAATAATAATAATAATAATAAGTGATATTAAATAAAGCAGTGTTGAAATAATAAAAAAAGTGAAGACCTGGGCTCGAGACAAAGAAATCTTGCATGCCAATTTTTTTTTTTAAATTATAATTAGTGCTTTTTTTTATTTTTTATCTTTGTCTGTCCAGGTAATTCAGGTGCTTCTGCTAGTGCTTCTGCAACTCCTATATTAGCTAACCTATATTAATATTTAATCTTGGAGGAATTATTATTTAAGATTTGGTGAGGTGGTTATGACAAAAAAATGGACATCAAAAGTGCGGTGTACAACGCTGCAAGAGATGGCCGACTTAGAAGGCTCAAGGTAATAAATGTTGCTTTTTTTTTTTATTATTAATATTAGTTTGGAGTTTTTTTATATATGATTAAAAATATTGCT